TGCGACAAAAATATTTCCTAAACTAATGGTTTTTGGAAATAAAGAGTTGCATTAACCAATACATTAAAAATTATATGATTCCATAGAAGAAAACGTATTTCACGTTCATAATCGTCACCTTCATGACCTCTACGCGTCCATTTACAGAAAAACTAATTACACCAAATTGTCTTCCTCGAAACCATTCAATTCGCCTCTGAACCATTTTTCATACTGCGGATAGTTTACGAATAATTCGCATTTATAGATTAAAATTGGTCACCCTGTATATTTGACATTAACCCGTAACCGATAACGTGGATTCTGGAAGACTGTACTGTGGAATTATGTTTTTATGTAACGCTTAAACGTATGGATTATCGACCCCACGGATTCAAGTACCTTCCTCAAAATAGTAAAAGTTAATTTGGATCTTATAAGTGGCAGTATTCGAGCAGCAGTTTTTGTGTTAATAACATGGCGGAGTCTGTGAGACTCCATGCCACAGTTAACATAAGCTTTGAGCGTATCATTTACATTGACTTTTACTCAATTTCTTTATAATTAATGCAGTATAGTGCAGTGGGATTTATTTCATGAAATTTTTTACATGAATCAAAATTACTGTAGAATTCAGAGATTTTACACAGCGTATCCTCGGCTGCTACTATCACAGAAGAACAACTTGAAGTACGCAAATATTGTTATTTATATCCAGCAAAGCTACATAGAAGGACATCTTATACGAGTTTTAAATGTAAAACACAAATCTATATAACGTGTACACAGAAAATTTGTAAAAAGTAATCTATAGAAACAGAATAACGTTTTTTTCAGTTTTTTCTTGTTCAACTTTATATGTTACAGTTTTCCTTATATTTAATATATTTGTTTTTAGGTTTTAAATAAGTTGTTTATTTATTACTATATCCAAAGCCCATTATACAAGATGTTACGTTTAAACGAGATCGGTGGAATATCTCACGAGGGATTGAATTTATCAAAATTATGTTCGTACAAAAGTTGTTTGATATAAAGGGATACATTATGTGGTATAAATAATTTTTCTATTAGGTTGTGTAAAAAGTCTGTTCTCGTTTCTTCACAAGAATATAAAGTTTTGTCATTTTAATATCAGATTTACCTAATCAGTGAGATGTGTACCATTTTGTTGTATATGACCTTTACCCATCTGTTTGGTAACTTAAATATTCCTTTTTCATAAAATTGTTGTGTTTTTTCGTTAAAAAATTCAGATATATGCATTTTGCCTTGGACGTTGTTAGTGGTTTGTATCCTGGCTTAGACCAATGTTTACTTCGTTTTATATTATCAAAAACAATCCATTTTTCATCACCAGTGATAAGTTATTTTAAAAAAGGGCGATCTTTGTACCGCTTTAGCAATGAATCGCCAAATCGAAATGCGGGCGAGCAAATTCTTTTCCATTAGCTCATGTGGGACCCAAACGTCATTCCAAGCTTTTTCAAATGCAAGGAAACTAATTTTTGCGACATATTTAATATGTTTGCAATCTCTCTAGTTGTGTACCTTGGATTTTGTTCAATACAATTTGCAATTCCATCATCATCGATCTCTTTTGGCCTGCCACTTCGTTTTTTTGTTTTCCACGTTGAAATCTCCACTATTGAATCTTTTAATCCACTTCTGGATGGTACGTTTGTTAATAGCATACTGACCATACACGTCACCAATTTTTTTACTTATTTCTTCAACACTTTTCTTCTTTCGAAAATAGAAAAGGATTAGGTGCCGAAAATGAATACTCTGTTCGCTCATTTTTAAACGCTTATGACTCGAATAATACTGAAAGAGAACTGCCTAATATTGAACGCAAAGCTGAACTGTCCCTAATGAGATACGTTTATTAATTGCAGTCAAAATAAGCAAGAATATTAGATAACATTACCGAGAAGAGCGAACCGCCATCGACGCGAACGGATTTTTTACACAACCTAATATAAGTATAGTAGTGAGGGAGATATCAAAGCTAAGTTAATTTTTTTAAATGGAACCCTGTATTTTTTTATTCATAATATGGTAGCGTTTGTTGAGACAAATTCAACGAAGTGCAACATTAAGTCATTTCGTTTTATGAAATGTTGTAAAATCGTGGAGAATTTGCATTAGGAGCAAGCATGCCATACATGCTGGCCTGACTCCTCAATGTTTCACTACTTTACGATTTTTCATAAAACAAAATGACTTTGTGTGACTGACTCATCGTTGAATTTGTCTTACAAGGGAACTTCGGTAACCCGAAAATTCCGATTTTTGTGAAACTCTGCAAGTTTGTAGATACCTCGAGAGAGGTATCGGGCAATTCTTCTTTTGTTTTGCCCTTTTTCGGTTCTTCGAGGTGAAAATAGCCCTTGCATGAAGATAAGTGTTACCCTATTTCCCTGTATATCTTTAAAACTATAGTAGATATAAGAAAATGTGTATAATAAAAATTTAATGGCTTTTTATGCCTTATAAGATAATGCTATTAAATTAATAAAAATTGTTTGTTTAAATAAAAAATCTTCCACCACCGTTATTGTGAAAAATTTTGAATTTTCTGTCATATTGAAAAATATGTCAAATAAATGCTTTTTGTGCGGTCTTCATTGCACTTTGAACGATGCGTTATCAGTTACCAAGTTATGTGTGTGTGCCTAAGTATGCCTGTTTTTATTTAATAGCATCGTCTTATAAAAGGCATAAAAAGCCATTAAATTCTTATTATAAAAATTTTTGTATATCTATTACAGTTTTAAAGATATATAGGGAATTAAGGTAACATTTATCTTTATTCAAGGACTGTTTTCACCCTGAAAAACCGAAAAAGGGGCAAAAAAAAATTGGCCGATACTATTCTTAAGGTCCCCTACAAACCTGCAAAGTTTCAAAAGAATCGGAATTTTCGGGTTACCGAAGTTCCCTTGTTAGCAAACACTACCATATTATGAAGAAAAAAATACAGGGTTCCATTAAAAAAAATTAACTTGACTTTAATATGCCCCCCACTACATACTTCACTCACATAAAAATTATTTATATCACATCAGGTACCCCTTTATACCAAACAACTTTTGTACGAATATTTTTTTAATAGCTTCAGTCCCTCGTAAGATATTCTACCGTTCTCGTTTAAACGTAAGACCCCATACATTTTTGATATTTTCTTAAATACCTTATAAATAACAAAAACATCTCTCTACCTATACTTTCCTTTTTTTCACTAGACCTTGTTTTATAATATGCTGTGTCATAAAGACAACATTCAGTGGTTTTGAACAAAACATACAAAAGTATCTCTTCAAATATGTTACAAAGCCATTCACAACTTCAGCATATAGGGTGTTGTCCCATACAACTGGAACAAGCTGTATCTTTAAAATGGTTAAAGATGGAAAAAATGCCATAGGACAATATTAAACGGTGTCAGTAAATTGTTAAATGCTGTGCATCGGTGCATCAAGAAAGTGCAATTGCACTCATTTTTTTAAATGGAACCCTATATTTTTAGATACACTAGTTGCTGTTTTTCACTCTCTACAAAATACTAAATTATTTATGCCTTAAAACTACTAGTTAAAAAGTTATTGCAGTTTTAAATTTCCTTAACACTAACCGTACCATGGCCAGGTCAAATGACCGGTTTTAAAATTTCAATTTAAAACCATGCACCTGTTTTTCCCCTGTATTTTCTTAAAAATAAAAATATGTAATTTTTTTTTTATAATTATTATCTAAAGGCTGTTTCCTACATTAAATTGACAATCACCTGCATTCCTTTCGGAAGAAATATGATTATTTTGTAACCGGTCATTTGCCCGGATAAGTGTCGGTACGGTTAGTGTTAATTACATTTCTGTCTATCAGTAAATTTTCGCTGATGTATTGTTGTGTACTTCTCTACTACAGATTATAATGTTTAGAAACATGAATCCACTGATAATATCAACCAGTGTAAGATACCTTGTCGTCAGTAACGTTTTATTCAATAGTAGAAAATCATGGCACTTGCAAATAGTGAAAAAGTGGATATGTTCATCACGTTTATTAAATGCGATTAGAATGCTTCCGACGCTAGAAGACTGAATAAAGAAACATATCTCAACCGGATACAACTAATATGTACATACTTTTATAAATTAGAATTTAATTTACGTGAATATAGCCCGTTTTGTCAACCAAAGAAGAATGTATCAAAACTAATTTTACACAGTGAAGAATGTGTTATACCAGTGCTGGTGTATATCAAAAATAATCCTCACACGTCCGTTCGAGGTATTTCCAAGGTATGTGGTGTTTTAAAACACATAATTCTCAAGTTGCTACGAGATATTTGAATGAAGGATATCAAGGCAATTAATATGATACCCAAGGTCCAATTCTGTGGCCACCGCGATCATCGGACCTAACACCGCTCGATGTCTTTTTATGGGGATACTTAAAACACAAAGTGTATTCTCGATCTATTGCCAGTGTTTAAAACATCCAACAGCGTATTTTGTTAGAAATATTCAAAATGAAAGAATGAAACAATGTTTAGAGTATAACGGAGGACCATTCGAGCATTTGCTATAACGTAAATATGCAATGACGTCTGCTAATACACTGAAATAATGTAGAAAATTTCAAACTGCAATATCTTTTGAAGTAATAGTTTGAAGGCATAAGTACCTTAGTATTTTTTGATTGCATCGACTAGTGTATCAAAAACAAAAAAACAAGTGCAATTGCGCTTTTCTCATACATCGATGCACAGAAATGCATAAACTTAATTCTAGAATATGCACCACTTGACACAATTTTAAAGATACAGCTTGTCCCAGTTGCATGGGGCACCCTGTATATTAGAAATAAATTTAGGCTTAACAATGTCGAATTATTTAAGAGGAGTCTCTAAGACTCCACGTCACTGTTTATGTGACAAAAGTGGGACGTCACCGGTTACGGATTAAAAAATTAAATTATAAAAATATAAAATCTGTACTAAATTTGTTAAATACCTCTAATTCATGACCAGTAAAGTGTGCTCTTAGCTGATACAAATATGTCATCACAGCTAATTTATCAGGTACAGTTAATATATCCATATCAGCTGGTTCTATTACTCTAGGTATACCAAGAACTTCTCCAGCATCAAATGCCTTTTTACAGTTACCTTTCACATCATGTGGTAATAGTGAATCTATGTCTCTGCAAAATTTTCATTTAAATACACGTTAAAAGACACTTACTACTTTCATAAGAGTTATAATCATGTAAGTTAGAGATAATAAATGATTGCAAACCAACCAGCTATAAAGAGAACAAAAAAATAAAATTTTTGACATGTAGCCAAAATCATTAATATATCTTTATTTTATACAAGAATAAAATCTTGCAAGATGATTATAATTATCATTGATCTTTGGGATTAATAACTTCGGTTACCTAGAATATCTCCGTTATTTTTATAGATATGGAAAAACTTTATTTACAGAGGTTGTACGGTGCAGAAGCAGCCATAATATGACAGTAATCATTTTTTTGTAGATGGAGGATTTTCAAATATTTCAGTCACTTCTATTTTCGTAAGTAGCATGTTATACTTTTTTATTTCTAGTAGAATAACAGATGTTTAGACGATTTCCACAACCTTTAATACAGAGACATTCAACAATAACTAAAGGAGCAAAATAAGGAGTTTACATCATAAGATGTGCTCGAAGTGGTGTCCGTTTGCATCGGCGCAACATTCAAATCGTCAGACTGCTAAAGTCTGCACACTTGTTATCATTTCCGGGTTGATTTCCGGGTTATCAATTCTTTGTTTCATATCTTATGGCGTTGTTGGCTTTTCCTGGTACACAATATTTCTGAATGTTCCCCAAAGAAAGAAACCAAGAGGTGTTATGTTAAACGAACGAGCTGGTCATGAAATTGGCTCACTACGTCTTATCCATCGATTCGGAAAGATCCTATTGAGTGCAGCTCTTACTGTATGTGCATAATATGGGGAGCACCACTGATTTCTTTTTTTGGGGGAATATTAACAAATATTGTGTACCAGGAAAAGTCAACAATGTCAGAAGATATGAAATAAAAGAATCACTGCAGCATGTGCTGCAATCAATCCGGAAAAGATAACAAAAGTGCGAGCTTCAGCAATCCGACAATTCCAATGTTGCGCCGATGCAAACGGACACGACTTCAAACACCGCTTATTATATAAGACTCGTTTTGCTTCTTTATTTATTATCGAACGTCTTTATATTAGAGGCTGTGAAAATCGTTTAAACATCCGCTATTCTACTAGGAATAAAAAAGTATAGAATTAAAAATAGAGGTGACTTAGAATCTCTGAAAACCCTCCACCTATAAAAAAAAATTATTAGTCACGTTATGTAACTTTTGTAAATAAAGTTGCACCATATCTATATAAATAACAGAGATATTTCACGTGAACAGAGTTATTGGTCCACCCTGTAATATACAGGTTGGCTCATTTTAATCCATAAATGCTTATATTTTGGAAAGTACGTTGAATTGAAATGAATTGAAAAACTTTGAGATTAAAAGAGGTGAAGGGAGACACTAAAGCGTGTAGGTGTAAATTCACTTAGTAGAAGTACTAAGGTCATTTGAAGGACAGTTGGGTAGTATTACATGGTATATCGTACTTTTTTTTCTATAGAAAAATAGAGCGTAACGTGACGAGGTCAATGATTCCATATGTTGTATGTTTTTATTGCAAAATATGATAATACAACGATGAAATGTAAGTAAAGTCAGTAAGAACTTGCATAGGCATCTTACACTGAACATTTGACGCTGAGTAGAAATCGTTAAATGTCGATCGTCAAATTTTCTAAATGAATATTTCCCCAGATATTAAATTGGTTGTGGAGGTTTTTTGGAGTGGCCACCCAGATCTAACTTAGCTGAATTTGTTTTTATGCGAGTACGTTAGGAAGAGTCAATATGTACGGAATATATAAAGGAGAAAATTTCCAACGCATTTAAAACCATAAATTTAGAAATGCGTATGGATGTACAAGAGAACTTCAAGAAGCATTTTCAAGCATATATTGATGTTCAAAGCAATGTATTTGAGCATTTGCGGGATTACTAGTCCATTATATTTCGTCATTGTATTTTTATATTTTTCAGTAAAATCATGCTACATATGGGGTGATTGAATTTGTTAATAAATATGTCAATAAATGACCTTGATGCCGCAACTACGTGAATTTGCACTTACATGCTTTAATGTCCCCCCTTTTCTTTAATCTCCTGAAAGCAAGTTTTCAAATTCAACATACTTTCAGAACTACAAACATTTAAAGATTAAAATGGGTAATCTGGTACATATAACCTTTACAAACTTCATAACTTTTTATAATTTGTTATACATACATAAGATCTGGTCTAAAATGATGTACGATTGCACAAAATGCCATCCCATTTCTCCAAGAAGTTGTAAGATTAGTAACTTTCACACCAGAATAATCTTTTGTTATTTCTTTACACCATTCTAGTAAATCCTGACCTGGAGTAATTTCTTTTAATTTAGGAATATTAACATCATTTTTTTTTAGTTCTAATGGTTGCAATGGTAATCTTGCTAATGTACTGTGTTCAATATTTTTGCTGCAATAATAATAAAATATTTATCAGAGATGTTAAAATCTTATAAGATTTATTGATTGTATTTAGTTTTTTGCAATAATACTTAACATACTTGTTTTCAACAGCGATATTATCCTTTAAAGGAGATTTTTCTTTAAAGGAATCAACAATGCCTGTTAAACTAACATCATGTATAAAGTGACCACTGTCATTTACAGGTGTAGTATCATCTTTTGATAAACTTGCCACTGTGAAATGTAGAGTATAATTATTACATACGTTAAATATTGATACATATAGTACTTATGTAAATCTACTTAAATCATACCACTTATTGGAGTACTAGGTAATTCACTTTCGGTAAGACTACTTGTCATTAGATCAAGCTGAGCAGAAATATCTAAAATTTCATCAAGATTTTTTACAGATACTTCTTCAACATCCTCTGGTATATCTTCATTATCAAAATCATCTAAAGGTGCAATATCACTGTTGTTGTTAACTGACATTAAACTAGCCATACTCTGCATATCCTCGTCCCTGGTTGAAAAGTATAATAAATATTACATTAGATTAATTCGTGATAAATCAAATATCAGATAATATTTTCTTACGTTGCTTTGCCCTCTCTCAAAAAGACACATGATAAAGTACATTCCAATGTAGCACTAACAATTTTTTTGGATGTAGGTTTCAAATCTAACTTAAGTTGTTGTTGACTAGATTCTAAAGTCGCATACTTTTTCATATTTATATTTGTGGCAGCTACATGTCGTCTTTTTCCAGTGAAAGAAACCTAGTTGACACATTAATATATTAACATAACTTTTCCTTTAATCATATTTATGTTGTAAATGTTTATAATTATTGTTTCTTACATCTACAATTACAAATGTCCAATCTTTATCTTCTAATTCATGAGTTCTTGGATCTTTAAACAAAGTTACTGAAACTGTATGATTGTCAGGAACTGCCCAACTAATGACACCTTTTAATGGGTCACTTAAACTTGGTTCCCAATCTACAGGTTCTGAGCTAACTCTTCTACTACGTCTTGTCCACACAATACTTAGTTTGTTTGGCTTCCTAAATAATATTACAAGATAATCCTGGTAATAATATGTACATGTACATATCATATGTGTATATACATATATATATATTTATATAGCATAAATTAATTTCTAATAGCATATATGTAGACTGTACACATATGTATATATTATAACTATACGTTACAGCGAAAATATGCAACATAAATATGCTGTACAGGTAAAAATATTAGTAATAATAGTCTATCAAGTAAAAATAAATTGGAAAGAAAAAATGTATGTTATTGCATACAAAATGTGCATCTTTATGATGCATAGAATTTTGTATTAATTACTATTCTTGTCCCAAGAATAAATATAACATTTTGTATTATTTTATATGCACACACACACAACATACGTATCTGTGTCCATAAACATTAACATATACTTTTCTCTACAGTAGAGCATATTATAAATTCTTTCTTCATATAAATACAATTAAAACTAATAAAGTTTTATATAATAATAGAATGTCTCGTGTATATATCCTGTATATGTTAAAAAATAAAAATGACATCACTCGTGATAAATATTATACTAGTTCATTTTAGTTATACTAAGAAAAGCATACAACACTCACCATTTTGTTGTCGTTTCTAAAGTAACTTCATGATATGACACAGTGAATTGAAATTTCGCAGCTCTCTTGTTTACCCGCTGTAATCGTTTCCAGACGGAACTCATTTTTTATTAAACTGTTTTTTTCAATGATTGTCACAACGTTGCTTAAGTTATAATTATTTACGTATATATTGAACGTGATATACCATTTTCACAAGAAATTAGGGAAATTAAGAAATCAGTTATTTGCAAAAAATGCAAAGGAAATATTTTTCTTTAGTTAGTGTAATTCAAATGTTAAAATTGAAAAGACGTTCTAATCATTCATGCATCTGACATTTTCACTTGCAATAATGTAATACAAACGAAACCATATACTTCTTTAGTCATAAAATTATTCTTTTTCAAGTTATTACTTGTTCCAATATCATTTTTTCAATTATAATATTATCTACGCACAACACGATATATTTCGACACTACACTATGCGGAAAAACAGCCACAAGATCAGAAAGTTTCACAATCAACTAGATCTACACTGTGACGAAACCTTTTCGACTTATTGATCTAATACTATACGACTCTATGGTAAGAAAGTTCATTATAAGCTGCCACTAAA